AACAATTCAACCACTTTTGTTTTGGCTCAATGATCCAGTCAAAGCCTATATGAAGTGTGGGCACTGACTGGAAGTGAAAGATGCCTGCCTCATAGTTTGACTATTTATTTTTCTTTTCTTGTTCTTCTAAAGTGTCCTTCATGGCCAACTGCCAAAATTTGAGTTTTGATTTTTCTCTGTTATTTGATAAGTGACTAAACAGATCTGTTAAAGTTACCTTTTAAATATTGCAACATTTCAATAAATATTCTTATTCCCATCATGCCTGTCTGTCCTAGCTGAATGTAAAAGACATTTTAATGGTTGGTATTTGTGTTTATAATCTTAGAAATACCAGGTCAAATCTGTGTTTGATTATTCATAACTCAAAACTGTAGTTCACCCTGCTATCTAGTCAAGTGTTTCGTAATATTGGAGTTTCAAAAGGCAATGGTTACATTTTCAAGGTTCGATTTACTTTATATATGATCTTCAACAATCTTTTCATACAGTATTATTGCTCTTTATGTCTTCATATCAACTGGAAGATGTTCTTTGACACTAGTCAACTCTACTTCAGCTTTTCAACTAAAGTAAAACATAGATTTCACCACTTGGCACACATGCGGTCTGGTTGCTCACTTTTGCTGTGTGTCTTTTTCTGTATCTGTCCTCAGTTCAGAATCTTACACTCTGGCAGAGAGATGCTGCTGTCGTATTGATTTATTCAGAAATGTTGGAAGAAACTGAGAGGGATGAAAAAGCCTGTGAGCATCATAGGGAAATGTACGAGACAGCCTGAACTAAAAGTAAGCAAAGAAACCTCATTAAATCTTGGTAGGGAAATGTAGGGCTGATGAACAGGAGAGAGGGCAGCTTAAAAAAAAAGTGATTTCTGAAACTTTAAAACAACTGAGTATAGGCCCACTGGCTTTTTTAGAATAAAGAAAACTGAAAACAATAGTTGGCAAATGGTTTGTCTTAATTCCCCAGTGTACTGTAAATATGTCTTTGCTAAGCATGAGCACTTGTTTTAAAACTGCAAAATCTGTGCAACTACATCGGTAATATTTTATTAATTATAGTTTCATTAGACCAATATATAGTCTAACCTTAATTCTGTTCAAGACAGCTTTCTTATACAGCACTGTTAAATAATTGAGCAGAGACCCACTTCAGCCCTTTCATTTCTACAGTACTGGTTTGAGATGAAACCTAAGGCAGCACTGAGTGTTGTTGTTAATGACAGAGTGCGAAAAACACAGAGCAGATTCACATTTGTATAATTTTGTTCGGCCTCAGACTTATTCAACAAAAACAAACAGGTGTGAGGTAACTGAGGATTCGGTGTATGATTTTGTCAATATCGTCCCGCCATACAATCCACAGGAGTGTCTGTTCGAAACGTCGAGACAGCAAGCGAGTCGGCTAAACTACCAGCATCGTTTTCAAACACATTTCTCAGTTGTGTGTAAGAGAGAGACAGTAGTCATTACTGACAGCCAGACACACGTCAAACTCCCAATTAAGTTTTTATTATTACCAACAGGGGCTGCATTTTCCAACGTTTGACACCAAAAGCCTAAATTCTTTTCTGTGCCTTACCTCTGTTGAGTTGATTCACTGACAGAAATGTGCATCCACGTTCGTACTGTACATCCAATCCTGTTAGTTCACTGCAAATGAAGACTTAACATTTACTGGAGGGAAATAATCTCATGTCTTTGTCACTGGCATTTGAATGCTTAAATGCAGAGGTAACCACCCGGAAATAAAATAGTAGTACAGGCTATTGATCAATCATTACCACAACCAAGACTGAGCTGTATGCTCTCTGATTGATTGTCTTAAATAAACATAAACCATAAAATTAAATGCACCTGGAAATTAAAAGTCAAAGTGTTGTCAACCCTATTTACAAGACTTAGATCACAGGTAATATAATTGCTTCATTGCAACAAATAAATAGTTGGAACAGTCTTGGCTGTACACAATATATTACACTAAATGTTTTCACAATTTATCATACAAAAAATACATTTATAGAAAAACAAAAAGTCTTCAGTGAACATCAGCTGCCCAGTCAGAGTATGGAAATGATAGACAGTGTCAGAAATTGGCAAGGAGACACAGGACACCAATGAAAAGAATTTATAATGAAAATCTTTTCTACAATAGCGCACCTATAGGAAGATAATTAGTGCACTTAGTCGTCAGCCTCAGACTAAATTCTACGCCTCAGCAGAGTCAAATCTCTGACTCATCATTTATGTATCCCAGGCCGTCCAGACTTGAAATGTTGGCCATAGGTGTGAAGTGGTGCTCCCCGTTCCCTTTGAAGTCAACAGTGGAGTGATTATTATTGGCACTGCAAGGTCTCCCAGACTCGGGCCCCAGGAGCTTTATCTCTGAAGTTCTGTTCGGGATGTGCATGTATTCTGCCGACTGCCTTTTCCCCTCGCTTTCACTGGAGCGCTGCGCAAGCTTAAAGCATTCCCAACGTCCTTGACTCCAGATCCAAAATATGACCCCCATCAGAGAGAGGCAAAGCAGTGACAGCAGACCCACTGCCACTTCCAAACGAGTCACCCTGCTAGTGTCGCTTTGATTCTCAGGGGACAACGGGTCCTCACTGTCCGACTTCGTCACCAACTCCGGTGCAGCCGTAGTCTGCCCGTAAATAGAGTCCGAGTAATCTATCACCTCGTTGCCAGAAGGAGTGCTGTCCCCAACTCCTGGGCCAGAGTAGAGCTGCAATTGATAAACCACCACCGTCCGGTTGTATGTTCTGCCGTTGATCTGCTCTACAGAGTCGCAGGTGTACAGGCCAGCGTCCGATTCGGAGGCACTCAGGATGAGGAGGCCTCCGCTGTAGATGTAGTATTTGTTGTTGGAGTGAAGTGTTTGGTCGGCGAATCGCCACCGGACCTGCGCCAAATTGGAGTGGAGCTGGCAAGGCAGCTGAATGTTGTTCTCTGGAACTAGGGTAAAGTCCACAGCTGCTACTGGATCTAAACACACACACACACACACACAATATGATGGTCTCGCTTCATATTAATGAGTAAGACTGCCGAGATGCTGTTTCATACAAAAAGTCTGCAGTAATGCATGCAAACTGCTCCCTGTAAATGAATGTACCTGGCTGAGGACACTGTGAGACGTTTCCCTCTTTCAAACTCTGTATTGCAGTATTTGAGGAGGATGAGAAGCCGTAGACTGGGGAGCACTGCTCGGTGGTGAAGTCCCAGGCACAGTAAGGATCCCTGGCCAGGATGCAGTCCACACAAGTGTCATAGCGGCTGCAGTTACTCACCGGCATCTGGATAGCACCAAAGTCTGAACCTGCATACAGTTGGCCCTATGTTTGCACACACAAAACAATTCAACAATCCAAAAGTGTTTAATCTTTATTACCACTGAAGCCTCTGGCAATTAAGTGACAACATATTTAAATTGAGATATAAATTCTGACTGAAGCCTTTTGTTCAGTATTTGCCAAGAAAAACAGCAGTAAACGACTATAGCCTATGATGATGATGAGCTAACAAAACATTATTGCCAATATATTGAACCTGTTCTCAGTTACCTTGCTGGAGGAGAGGCGCAGGGTGCTAATAGGCACGGGGTTTTCGAACAGTTGAATCTCCTCAATGATGAACATCTCTCCAGCGTAGTTGACAGCCTTCTGAACGTAACCATTTTCTACCAAGAAACAAAAAAAGGACTATTTAATACCCATATAATGAGTGTGTCTTACAAGGTATCGATTATACAAATGGTTCAGTGGCTTTAAAAGTTTAACATTAAAGGCCCTGAAAACATATTTTCTGAAACAGTTTTGTGTTTGTTACATTTATTTCAGGTTTTTGCCTTTGCTTTTCTTGCTGGTTTGAGGTGGGCGGGGCTCAGTTGGAAAAAGGTGATATCAAATATTTCTGAGCACCAGATTTGAGCAACATTTGATTAAAAACGTGATGATAGTTGCACAAACCGCACAGATTCACTGGGTTTTTGAGTGTTAAACTGTTAATAATAACAGTAACTTGATGATCAGGGGCTTTAAGTTTAATCAACCAGAATATAATTATTAGAATTTAGTTACCAGTGCCAATGAACATGACGTCATATCTCTGTCCGTCCAGTGCCAACACACTGTCCACTACAATCCGTGTGAGCAAAGGTCCCCTCTTGACCAGCAGCGGCCCTCCAGTCAGAGGGCGAACAGCTTCGTCCATAAGGGGCCGGTCCCTGATGAACTGGAGGGTTTTGTCAGGAAGGTCCAGAGAACGATTCATTCCCATTTTGCGTGCCACACTATTGATGCACTGAAAAACAAAACCTCAATTCAGAATTTATTTATTTATTTATTTTCAGATTAGCTTTGTATGCTTAAATAACCAGTATCACGTCTGGCTGCAACAAAGTCTTTAGACTCACTGCTCCTGGTCTGGGGACTGGCACCTCTCCAGTGTACATCACCCACTTGACGTGAGATGTCTCCACAGCAACAGGTGTCTTAAACTTGCCCTCGTTGAAAATATCTCGAATGGCAGACACACTGTATGCACATACTGCAGATGCCTGGGACAAGCTCCTGGTAAACAATAAAACATATTTAGTCAAACCAACTGCGAAAGGTTTGTTTTATTTGTATGACTGGAGAATACTTTTTCTATTTTTAAATAAAGCTGCAGTAGGTCATTTTTATAAAAAAAACTTTTGTCATTTTCTGAAACCTGAGACAGATCTGTGAAAGAAATCTGGTTCCTCTGGCTCCTCCTAGTGCTTCTAATTAAATTTGCGAGAATTCACTGGGCCTGAACAAAAACAACCAGTCAGAGCCGAGAAAGATGTAAAGATACTTTGGGCTGGTGGTTTTAAGATTGTTGATTATTGAGTCTCATTCCCAGCATCGATATTGACGACCTGGGAATGAGACTCAACAATCAACTATCTTCCTTGGCTCTTGTTGTTGGTTGTTTTCGTTCAGGCCTGGTGGATTATTGCAAATGCCATTAGGAGTACTAGGAGGAGCCAGATTGTTTCACAGATTATCTGTCAGGATATAGTGAAAGTATCAGCAAATATGACAAAAAATATTTTTATAAAAGTTTCTACTGCAGCTTTAATCTGTCAAATACAAATATTAACTTCTAAATACCATATATTACAATTTACATAGTCAGACAAATAGAAGATATTCAAATTAAAACTTTTTGTTTTGTTTTGTTTTTGACCAGTATACCTTTTTCATTCTTTCACATTGACTGCTCAGGTTACTACCTACCTTGCAACCTTCAACATCCACCCTAAGCCATAAGACTACAAGATTTGATTGTAAGTACTTACGACTGGGGTGTGAAGACAGCGTAGAAGACGCTCTTTGTCCAGTCCCTGTGCTTCAGCAGGAAGACATCCTGGACAATGGGGGGCAGGCTGGGTTCAGGGAGGGAACAATCCAGACGAGCTTTCAGGAACGACGTCCATTTCCTCTGCAGTGTCCGCTGGCCGCCCATATCGCCCTAAACACAGAGACAGAGCGCTCTGTCATGTGCAATTCTGCACAACTGAATCACAACAACCAGACCTGTCTGACACTGGTCTAACAGCGTGAGGCCAGTGTCAAATTTGCAGATTCTCAAACAGTAATGTTATCAAACTTCCTCAAAAAGAGATTTTATTTCGTGCTTAATTATACCTTGCAGACACGGGCCACTCGAGACACCGCAACTTTCCTGTAGAAGTCATACTCCATGGCATTCTCACTGAAGAACAAGTACACCTTATCATCATCACCATCCGGATTATCAAAACTCTCACCAACAAAGTCCATGTAGACAAAGTTTGGCTCTGTAATCAGAAAACATAAATATTAGTGCTTAGGACAAAGCTATAGACTTTGATCTGCCTCAGTTATGTTAAAAGATATCTACAGGTATCATAAACTGCATCATGCATAAGCAGTGTGTTGCTGCAATTCGTTCCTTCTAAACTATGCACACTATTTATATAAAACTTTAAATGGCCAGTTTTTGTAGAGGAGGAACTCACCACTGAGCCAGGAGCTCTTAAACTCAGTACGGAGAGCCAAGTCTGAGCTGCGCAGAACCACAGGCTCAGAGCCCAAGAAGTTGATGGATGTAGCAGAATACAGGTCATTTCCTGTTGGACAGGAACAAGAGATGAGGGAGAATTCCTGGAGATCCATTATTCATATTTAGTTGGAACAATAACTCAATTACATGCCTAATAATGGACTGAACCAACTTAGTGCATATGTTGAGTGAGCAGGTAGCACTACTTGGTGACATCTGGAATGCATTTGACATTCAGGTCTTGTGGCACACAGTTAACCTCAACTAATCTTTTCTGTTGGTGCACTTTGAACGTTCAGCAGCATTTTGTGCTTTGTTCCGTCTAACAGCAAACCTGACTCAGACACTCACCAACCATGAGGGAGGAGTATCTCTGGAAGGGATCGAAAGGACACTTCCCCTTTCCCTCCTCCTGCTTTCCCTCCAGCCTCAGCTGTCCATTAGCAAACGTCTGTCGGAAACAAAGGAAAGAAAAACTTGTTAAGAGAGGGGAAAAAAGAAAGACTGACATTTTATTTAAACACAGTACTGAGATACAGTGGAATTACTATTGGGTTTGGTCTATTAACTAAAACTAGCATATATTTACATTATTACTCACCAAGTGTACAAAAGATATGTACACGTTAGACTTTTTGTCCAAATTATATCTTTCAGAAGACTTAGTGAGATATTGTAGAAACATAACGTAGTAAACATAATGGCTGCGTTATTTATTTATTTTGAATAAAAAGGTGGTTATTGTGCTGTGATTCTGCACATAGGAACCATTTAACTCTCTTTGATGGTGCATTCAGGATGCTCAGTCCTCTGAGATTTGGGTTCCTTGCCAAAATACACTGCATTCATGAGCTAATATGTTGTTTGAACAATGAAACCCAACAAAGGCAATAAATAAACACCAACGTTATGAAGAGATAGGCTTAAACTTAAAAGGGAAAATGTTTGCTAATCATTTGAATGGCACAAACCAACTGACCACCACCATATTCTGCAGCATACTTACCATATAATCACAGGTGGGGCTAAAAGCATTTGTGCCACACACATACATTGTAGTGTCATTCACTCGGTGCAGGTTTCGAATGTAGTTGCGGCATTCCACCTGCAACAAGATCCAGCAGAGAGAATGCCAAGGTCAGAGCTTTGTTAGTTCAGGCCCAAAAACACAAACAAGCCAAATACATATAGTGACTGCACAGGCTGCCTGGAGCTGAGCTGGTGACCAAAAGGTCAAGGCTGTGTACATGCATTTTCTACTCATGCCTTTATTTGGGCACATTGGAATCTGTGAGCAAAGCACTTCAAAGAGACTTCTGTGTAAAGACTTGAAAAGGAAAAAAAACTCTAATATAAATGATTTACAAATGCAAAGAGATAAACTGCATAGGGGAGTAAACTGCAGTTAATGCTGCATCCTTGCCCTAGATGTAAAAGTTAGCATACGCTGTTTGGAAAGACATAACACAAACCTCGGCATGTTTTCCCTTGTATGTGCACTCCCTCTGCTTCTCCTCTGTAACTCGCCAGTACACCTGCATCAACAGAGGAAAAGTGTCTTGTCAAAGCACGCAGGAATGATGTCGCAACCCCACAGCATGACAGTGGAGCTGCAGCCCAGTTACCCTCACACATTTCACTGTAAGTCTAACAACCAGTCAGTGCACTCTAGAGGGGAGTACCTGCTAGGTAGGACACCAGTCCCTCATCAGTTGTGACTGTTAGCTGTGTAACTACAATTATGAATCAACAGACCACTGTTTAGAGCTCAACAAGACCATTACTCATTCAAATTCCTCATGCAAACGTGCACTGGCCAAATAGACAACAGTTCAGCTGGCTGCTGACAGGACAGCAGCTCTAATCAATCTAAAGTGTTTCCGTGAGCATCTATAGCCAAAATCTCTCTCAAAATAGTGAAAGAGGCCAGAGAAAGATATACAAAGAATCATTTTATTGGAAGCATGAACTGGAACTAGCAAAATGTCTCCAAATAGCTAAAAGGCAACAAGTGGCCGCAGTTTCTATTATCCATACCAGTGATTCCCAAACTGGAGATCATGAAATGATTAAGGTGATAAGAATGCAAAAATGTGACTTTTTTTCTGCAAATTTTTGCTTTTTTCCTAGTGAAATACTAGATACTTTGACTTTGTCACTCCTCTAAAAAGCCTTCCGATCAGACATGCTGAACTCATAACCCAACATCCACACCACCATAACCTGCGATGTGGGGTAACAGATAAGACATGACTTCATTTTAAGGGGTTATAAACTAAAAGGTTTGGTAACTACTGATATAATTCATGATCAGGCACGGCAAGTCCAGCCTTTAGTGGCTCACTGATTATTTGATGAAATGCCTTCAACCGCTAACAAAAATATCATAAATGTTCAATAAATCTTTAATCTTTAATATGCAATAATGAAAAGTTAATTAATAGCTATTCCATCAAGCAAACAAACACGTGCATGTTAATATCTAACTGTTCTGCAGGCATGTGACTGTTTATCATTTATTTTACAACAGCTTCAAACTCAAACCTGCTGATCAGACAGGAATAGATTTTTTCTTCACTTGTTCTTACCGCAGCCTTTCTGACAGAGATGTTGTTGATGTCCAGAGCATATATGGCCTCTCTGGCCCCCAGCAGCACCACACCAAGGTCGTCTCTCATTAGCATAGTGGAGTAGTTGAAGATCCCCTCTTCACTGAACGACTTCAGCTCGTCTAAACAGGACAGAACATCTGCATTTCGTTATATTTTCTTTTCTACATTTTAGTTGCTGTGACTCCGTGCAGCTGGAAAAACGCTCCCACAGCAAAAACAAAATGCAGATTCATTGAAATTGTAAAACCAAACAGTCAAATGTGAACAAATACATACTTAAACTGCTACAAATCTTGGTGTAAATCTGTTAAAGCACAGTAAGAATGTGACATATTAGTGGGGAGGCTTTGAGAATGTGTGACTTACTCTGGTAGGGGACAGTCTTTCGCGGGACACAGTAGTGAGTGTTGAGTGCACTAAAGGAAACGTGGAGCATCAATCCACAGACTAGGCTCAGGGCTGAGAGAAGAGACATGGCTCAGAGTCCAGGTTTGTCTAAGTGTGGAAGAGCTGCACAGTCCAGCTCTGCCACCAAAGCACCCGATCAAAGACAGAACATGGTCCAAGGTCTTAGTCCAGAGGTTGCTACTGTTACACTGTTGGGATGTCACTGTCCTGGACATGTGCCGCTCTGGCACAAGTCATCTTTGTTTTTGAAGATCCTCTAAAGGTAGTTTATTCGTGTGGTTAACTGGAGTGCAGCTCAGCCTGCTTCGGTTCGGTCTGAAGTCGGTGTCCTGCGTGGTGAGTATCTATGTCGGCGTCAGCCTCCAGCGCAGTGCTAATGAGCCACTGGTGTCCTCTGTGGAAGGAGGAGCAGAAGCCATGCTGCCCTGCTACTGGTGAGGGGTGCTGGAGGAGATCATCTTAATGGTGCCCACTTCTAGGAAAGATATGAAAACATCTATTCATTAAATTATTAAAGAGACCCCTGACATTGACTTTAATGTTAAAAGTGGAAATGATTTATACGTTAAAAGATGGCTTTCATATTAGCTTCAAAAATGAAACGGTTGCTGGTTTGTCTTCTACACCCCTTTTCTTCATTATTCATGTATAATTATTATATAGAACTAGATATAGATTTGATTTCCCCTCTTTTCAATAATTGTAATGTGAATGGTGTCTGCTGCTTTTATTTAAATATTATTAATTATTTTAGATATCAAAAACTAAATCTATGCAGTAAATTGAAAGAAAGCACAAATGAAAGAAATATAGACTTTAGGTAATCATTTAGATGGTTCACCAGAGATCTATGACCATAAGGAAACTTAATTGCACTTTTATTAAGATGGAAGACTCACAAGAGACGGATTAAATCCAGATTGGTCAAAATCAATCAAGATATTCTGACATTCAGTGTATGGTATGAGTCCAAATATCCTGCATCCTACAATTTCCATAAAGCACTCTCCATTGGACTCTATCTGCCTGGTGCCTTTCAAACTCCCAAGGTCACCCAATTTTGTAACAGAGGCGTTGTGTTTTTGTAGAAATGTGTAGACTCTGAGTCCAATCCAAGATAACCCTGCTGACCTGGTTATTTTCTCACACTTTCCTCAGAGCCACAGAAGACATTCATGAACTGCTCAAGTTGAGTAATACTCCTTGTGACAAGTGAAAGGGTCTTTACATATACAATCAGTGGAGTGCTACAGGAGCGTATTCTGCTACCTTTCCTAAAGTGTAGTGAAAAAGACAAAAACAATGAGGGCAGGTGAATAGAAGTACCATACATGAACATGCCTTGCCAGCATGCTGTACTTTTCACTTTACAAAGACACAAGGGCCAAATATAACCTCACTGTTACATTAGAGAAGTCTAGCACCACTTACAGTCATACCTAAGAGAAGTCATAATTGTAAACTCCAGAGAGGAAACTGATGTCAAGTGAAATTCTGCAGAGTGCCCCATTGCCCACCAACCCCCACTCTCTCTTCCTCCTTCACTCTCTGTGCCTTCCTGTCCTCCTCCCTGATAAGAACCTGTTTCCTCTGGGCTCAGCGGGGTTCACGCAGCAGAGGGGGATCAGTTCAGGTTTGGGCATGCATGCAGATCACAACAATTCACCGCTTTAGCGCTCCATCCCTACCCTGGGATTCATGCTGAATTGAGACTTATCACTTCTTTAGCGAGTTCTTCTTGCTGTTTTGACTAACTGAGCAGCGCAGCCTCATTCAAAATTCATCAAGGCACTTTTTCCTCAGAATAACACACAAAGCATACTTAAGAGACAGACTCGCAAGGTAAAAACTATACTCTTATCCTTTTAGTGCATACTGCTCAAAAGCAGCCGCACCACACAGCTGCTTTGCAACTGTTATTTAGATTTAAGCGCACAGAGAGAGAAAATACAGCAGATTTCATAGAGATGCTTCCTTTGAAAACACACACCAGAGTCCTCGCCTGTTGACAGAAATCAGAATGACAGAATCCAAAATTCCTCGAGAGACAGCTAGGCGCTCGCTCCCCTGTGCCTCTGAACAACCTCAGTTTTGAATGTGCGTTTTGCAACAAACTGCCATGCTCCCACCTTGTTGTTACTTGACACAGCGGGACGAGCTGCTGCATGTATAGGACTGCTCATGTGTTGTCAGAGCACCAACGTCTTGCATACTTTCCCCCTCAGGCTGTGAGAGGAGGGGTGGGGGAGGCAGGGACTGTAGGTTGAGCGTTACAGCTGAATAGAATGACTGCAGGTTGTTTCTCAGTGTTTGACAGATATTTCAGTTCAGCGCAGACAGGCAGGTATTGCTGTAATAATAGAAGAGCATGCAGCAGTTGTCCCTCTTTTCTCTTCCTCTGTTTATCCATGGTCACACTCACACACTGACATGTGCACGTGTGTTGGGGGGAGGAGAGGGATGCACAGCTGAGGTTTTTACACAAGTTACATGTTGCGGAGAGCTGATTCTCTTATGAGATAGGACCTTTATCTGTTACATTACTTTATTTAAATGCGTTTTTTGTTTTCTTGCATTTGACTAGACAAAGAATACAAAATGCTACAGTATGAGATTTTTAATTTTTTTAATTTTTTCAAAAAAATCTAAATGTTATAAATAAAATGTTTATTTAAAGCTGCATTCATCATCACCTTGCACTACAAAGGTATTATTATGAACATTTTAGCAACATATTAACACAGACACAAGCTACCATTCATTTGGAGTCTAGTGTCCTGACAAAAGTCAGTCTTTAGGAGCAATGCTACATTATAATGCATGAATACAAGTAACTTTTGGATTACTAGATTATTTTCCCACATTTATGTCTCTATGTCCGCCGCCTTCGCTGTTTGCTTTGTTCTTTATAATTAATCAGGAAGGACTCTCCCATGGATACTTTGACCCCTTACCTGATCACTGCCAAAATCCATTCGTAATGGCACACTAGCATTGATAGCTGCAGAGTTGATTGTATATTGCAAAGTAGCTTATGACCCCTTATTAATGACACGCCTTTAATAATATTAGTAAACCATTAATAAAGGGTTGTGGAGTTTAGCAGGTTGTGTATAACAGCTTCTTACATTATATTTTACATATGAACCATTTTAATAGAAACAACCCTCCTGCAAGTATGCCTTATTGTAAAGTGTGCTTGGATCTCATCAGTGTTCTCTCTTTCAAGTTGAATCCTTGTTTCTCTGACACCTTGTCGCCAAAATAATATTAAACCACCATCAAATTAGGTGTGCTTTCCCGACTCCAAGGGTATGTTGTGAATCCAGTCATGTCTTTTGTTTATAGTGGATCGATGCTGATTCACGTACAGCTGGCAAAACCTGCTCCACTGAATGACATTGTTCTTGAAAAAAATGGTACAATTGTGCATGCAGTGAAGAACATTATGAAACATTGTTCTTTCTCTTGAAAGTCAACCTGACATTTGAAGCACTGCTTGCATGTAAATACAGCAACCACAAAGTCACCATCAGCAAGAAGATGCACATATACAAAACCAGAACAAACAACAAGAGTGTGCCTAAGACAGTGTCTTTACATCTCTATAAGTCCAGATGTTATTGTGAAAATGTATTTCCCACGTGTCTTTATTCCCACCAATAAACCTTAAAAGGTTAGCTGCTGGTGGGTTTTCACTCGTCAAGATGTAGAGTGTGAACAACTGTGGGTTCAAAGGCTGCACATGAACTAGTACAATAGACTGAAGAAGCCCTGCAGCAGACACTCCAGCCACTTGAAGCATAAGGATATTTATAGACTGTTAAGGAGCCTTCATCATATCTACAGTACTCTACCATGGATTCTCACTATACGGCTACGTGCTGTGTACAAAGCAAAATCAGAAACAGCAGCATCTGAAACATGCGCAGACAAGCACGCTGTTGTCATCGCCGTGAGTCATAACAAATCCAAATCCAAAAAGCCATGTGAACAGTCAAACAGCTGGAGTGAGCCGTGACTGCATAGGCTCTAGTGTACGTCTTTCTTTGCCTTCCCCTGTGCTGTATGGACAAGGCCTCTGGCTGTAACTGATTCACCTGAGTGACTGATTAACTGGTCTACAGGTTTGGTGCAGGTTGAGTCACAGGCTGACTGGTTGAGTGGCTTGTTGCCAGTCAAATGTAAGCTGGTCCACTGTTAGGCCGGCTGGTGAGCTGGCTGTGACACAGAGTTCCATCACAGTGGACTAAACAGGAAACCGGTTGTGGGAGGGTGCTCACCTTTGACACTCCTTGTGTCACAGCACAGACTCTGTTGTGAAACACTCACTGGAAAACACACCCCAGTTCAGCACCGGGTTATATTTTTGCAAGCTCAGATGGCTAAAACATCATTATTTTTATCCTAACGACAGTAGCTTGCCACCTTATGTTTTGATGTGCAGGAGAGTTGTAATTAACCGAAAACAATACTTCAAAAACATGCCGTGTGTGCAGTTTCCAAGCCTGTTAGCACATGTATCATTAAGCTAAAAGTCAAGGCATTCAATGTGAATGAAGACGACAAGTGAACTACAAAATAAAAATGTCCAATAAGATCGTTGCCTCTGCTCTGACAAATTACTTGTCATTAATGAGACAAGTCTGGTTGAGTGTAAATGCACACTTACAGAAAAACACACACACACACACACACACACACACACACCCAAGCAAGTCTCAGCAGGAGCTGGGGCACAAAAGGAAAATATGAACACCCGAACATCTGTGCCTGTGACAAAGTTCGCTGACAGACGGGAACACCCAAGAAAAATGTGGTTAACACATTTTGATTTAGATTTAAAATCAAAACCATGGAAAAGATTTAATGACTCTGAAACTGTTGTTTATTCAAGTTTATACAGTCAATATCGGGTCTACAACAATCATTCCAATATGTATTTATTTTTCAGTTATGTTTTTGATGAATTGGTGAATCATTTGGTCTATAGAAGGTCAGAAAATAAAAAATAAAAAAGTGACCATAATTTCCTAAAGCAGATGTCTTATTTTGTCTGACCCAGCTGTCTAAAATATTCAGTTTATAATGATATAAAACACAGAAAAGCACACTGGAGAAGCTGGAACAAGAGAGTGTCTGCCATTTTATCTTGAGCTATTAATAGATTATCAAAACAAGTGGCAGATTATTTGACTAAACTATCATTTAAGATCTAAATAAGACAATGAATTCATGTGCATTGGTAGAAGAAGATCAACAATGAAGGTGCCAGATATGCAGCTATCAAAATCAAATGTGCGGAATCATTTAAAATGTCATAAATAAAGAAACATCAACAGATTTTTCTGCTCTCGTCAGTGTATCCGGCCTCCTGCTTCATGGGAACACATCTTTAATAACAGCCAATAAAATATTAAACATATTGTGTCTGCCTATCATGTGCCATACACAACCTTTTGTTTTCCTGCTGTGGTCCTCCAATCTAATGCCACTCTACTTGTGCTCAGTTACTGGCTCTTAAACCAGCACCTACATATGAAGATTCTGATGGTCTATATCTATATGTTGCTGTGTTGTAATTTCTGTGAAAACAAACCTCCCTCTAGCACAATACATCTCGCATAGTGTACATGTCGGATTCTCAGTAAAAGCACACACTGCGCGGTCTGGTAACACAATGGTAACGTGGTCGGTTCACAGTTTAGTGACACATCAACCACAGACCGAGTTAACTGAAGAAAACTCACAGTGAAACTCAGATGAGCTGGTTCACATCCAACACACGGACTCTGTTTCACCTGTGCACTTTACCTGGAAAGGGGCTGTGCACGGCGCGCGGAGGATACCCATTTTGGCACGCGCCCCTGAGCCGCAGTGTGTGTTGCGTTCACTGTCTGACTGTCAACCAACATGAAGCAGAAGTTCAGATGCGAGGATGAGTGACTACAATGACAAAAACAGCCTGTTTGGACGGGTGGGCACATGCAATAAAACATAAAGAAACCCCTGCCAGCTTTGATACCACACAGTGCCGGGGTATTGTTTGTGGTGTGGCTGTGTGCAGCAGTCCCCTCCGCACCCCGTGACATCCCCCGAGCTGCAGTATGACAGCTAAAATTGGGCAATCCCCTAAGCAGGTGCACTGACAGCACTTACCCTCTGCTCTCTCAACCACACACACATACACACACACACACACATCATGTGCTAAAACTCTCACCATCCATTAAAGTGAACAGCCTGGAGTTTCATGTCAACCCCTATAACGTCCGGTTGAATTCAGGCACACTGGAGACCAAACGCTGGGATACTTAGATATTCTGTTTGTGAATTACTGATGTAGCTGTATAGATTATTGGCTCTGTTTATGTAGAGAAAATGCCAATAGATCAAGAATGGCACATAAAATGAAAACCTGGTCCTTTTCAGCAGGTTTACAAGCTGTTGGTTTAGGCTATTAAGAGGTGTGTACATTTGAAGGTGAGCAAACTAAAGGGGTGAAATCAAATCTGTGTACTTAAGCTTATACAATTTGACCCACCCCAGGATTCAGGTACATATCCGCTACTTTGACACTTGCAGCGACCCTGCAAGTTGGAGCGTTTCTCCTCAGTGTGTCTGCGGTGGTTAAGTGTCTGTAAGGCAGCCTAAACGCATATCCTACTACTGCTTAGTCTAGCTTTCGCCTGCTATTATTAGATTAGGATATCCTATAATCTTAGATAAGACAGACAAGTTACAGTGTGGCAGCATGTGCCCCTCTCCACCCCACAGGTTGCCCAATCCAATTCCCGCAACCGGCCCGAGCTCCGTGGAAAAACATAAGAATCCTGTGGGACAAAGCGGCGCACAAACAATCCAATAAGTCACAACAGCGGCTTACGTGCGCTTCAGACTCACCGGGAGTTGTCAGGCTCTACATGAGAAACCGCTGTGACCGCTCCTGTCGCTGTTTTCCTGGTCTTGAATCCGTCTCGACGCTTTTTGTGCTCCACCTGTAACGTTCACTCCACATCTAACTCCGGCAGGGAGCGATTATCCGGCAGCTCTCAGCGGTAGGCAGTGCCTGGTCATGTGACTTTTGATTGTACCTTTCCTCACTCACTTCGCAACCGGTCAGCTGTGTAACAGCAACAATACCAAATGTTCCCTCGGTTTGGACCTACTTTTATTTCGATGTGTGTTCAGCCCACGTTGATATTCAAAATGAACTTGTGGTATTGTGACAATATATAGCAACCTATCAATGTTATATACTAACAATCAGGATTATTGCAAACTGTACAGAAGGAAAAAAAACAGTACCTTGTGATTTAAAATAAACGCTAACAAGAAGAACGGTTGATTAAAAAAAAACCTTTTTAAGTCCCATAATTACATAATTCATATTAGAAATAGCTATTTGCCATTTTTTGCCTAATTGCTACAACACAACTGCTGCCAACATGTTTAGGTATGATCAGGTGTTATATATTACAGAAAAGAAAAAAGAGAATTTGACTTTATCCACTGACAGCATCCACCACCTGCCATCTAGTGGCTGATAAAAGCTATTTTACAAGAAATGCCCAAGAAGAAATACATAACATACATTTTTTTTTTTTAAATTCAGTTTTCAGTAAAGCTGAAATACATAAACTAGAATAAAAAAACCATAATATTTAACAATCCATTCAAATTCCAGTGCAGTGAGAATTGTTGGAGTTGAGTCTTTGTGAGGTCCTTGACTTCTTCATTATTTATGTCTCCGTTTGCCTTCGTCGTATCTCTTGCCAGGACTCGGGTTCCGGAGGTTCTGACTTGAGGCCTTCAGGTTATCCACCGGCATCCCTGGCCGAGGAGAGGGCTGCTTGTTGGCCAAAGGACGAGTGTTTGCATAGATTGGATCTTCTGCGTCTATAAAAAAAAATTAAAAACAGGAATCATTTCACTTGTTAGGTTTAAAACCCTCCATTAAGTTAATTTATTAACCATTATATGACACCACTAGCTTGTCGGACACATTGAACAGAATCTGTAATGTGATATGTTGTAGTAGGCCTATTGTTTGTTTGTTTCAGATAAACAATTATGATAAATAAAATGGGTTTTGGAGACATAATAAATTAATGATAATTAAAGTGTAATTAATATATAATATAATATAATATAATATATAATATACTGTTTCACCCTTTAAACTTTGATGTGTTTTTACTGGAATATGTTTGTGAAAATGATAGATAAGATAAGTTAGATAACACTTTCTTGATCCCACTGAGGGGAAATGTGCAGTGTTACAGCAGCGAAGAGGAAAGCGAACAGCAAGATATAGACAAGGGAGGATAAAAACCAAATATCTGGGTCAGTGTTAGTTGTTGAAAGTGTAAATTGGGGAAATTGGGAAATATATATTTTGCAATAAATTGTTATGCATTGGGGGAAAAAAGTCACATAAATTAAACATCCTGTAATTTTATAAATGTAATATATCTAGTTAAATTAACACTGCTGTGCACGTACCTTGGGTTGAATTATCATGTCATTACATCCAGTGTTCAATAATTCAAACTAGCACAGATTGCTCTTATCAACTTATTTATAAAAACATAAGAAGATAGACATAATATTTCTAAATGATTCGCAGATTTGGTTTATGAACTCAATAAATGCTGTTAGTTAAGGATGAAGAAGCTTCCTTTGTAACTAAAAGTCTATAATGTATACACATATGTGAAGTGAATATGTCAAGTAAACTATTAAAATTAAAACAAATATTGAATGATGACTCATCCTTTAATTCACTAAAATTTAAAATAAACCTATTTCTGACCTTACTAGAAACCCTTTGAAACTCTGTGCTGCAAAAAGCCATCAGTCACTCAAAATAAATGACTCAAAAGTAAATTAATTAATCATCAATGTCACGAAAATGAAATTTCTTTTTCTAGTCAAGATGGTGAAATTTCAAAGAATTGTATCGATATGAGCCTATAAGTTCAATGAGAGATTACGTACAGCAAACCAGACAGCACTGTTCAATATCCCACACAACCAGTTGAAGAGCATCCATCAAACAAACATCTGTTTCAACAAAAAGTCCACATACCGCAAAACTGCAATCGATAGCCTGCAACCCAACCTGCCTTTATTTGGAACAGGCGTCTATATGGGACAGATGTTTAACTCCCTTTGCATAATACTATCAGATTGTTTATTTAAACCAGTATTATGAATCATTCATGTGATCATTTGATATGTTGGTGAATGGGGGACTAAACTGTGGAGAATCTAACACTGTGTAGGAAGCCGTGTTGACAAAAGTTTAAACATTTATGTTTGTTTAGGTGATCCAAGCAGCTCAGAAAATGCTCAAACAGGCGACCCAGAAGGCTTTAAGAGGTTTTATGCAGCCAAACAATTTCTATAAGAACCAGACCAGACATCTAACTAGTAAAGGAGACCTCCGTCTAATTGTGACCATGCTTTTAATTTCAGTTTTAGGGTATACAGGCTTCTCAAGGTCCGTGTACACCTGTCTGAAACAGTAATATAAAACACACAAAACAAAATACAGAAGAAATCTTATCATCATGCTTACAATACACGAGAAATATTGTAGCTTGATGTAACCATTTTCTGTATATAGGCAACATGTCATGTCTGTCCTACTCGTAAATATTTCAGCTACATCCTCTCCAACAGGCCTACTGACTACCACATGTTTCCACCTGCGTGAGAGGCCTGTAGGATCAGTGAAATTATGATGCATGTATGTATTTTGCATGATGATAAAGATCGTTACAAATGCAGTGTAACCCACTATGATCACCAAGACTCATACAGTGCGTAACTGCTTCAATTGAAGATAAGTTTACATTTGAACTCTCTTAGAGCCACAATTAATGGTTATTTTCTTTATCAGTCAATCTGCTCTTTAATTACTTGATGAATGGATTAATTGTTCAGCGTATAAAATGTTGAAAAATTACCTGCTGACATTTTCTGTCTTTTAGTGTTGGACAAATTGACAGTCCAATGCCCAAACATATTCAGTTTTCAATAAAAACAGAGAAAAGCTGCAAATCTTCCCATTGGAGAAGCTGCAAACAGTAAATGCTTGTAGTTTTTGTTTGATTAAGTAACTCAAATGATTAATCGATTATCAAAATAGTTGCCACCTGTCTGATGCGGCGAAAGCAACAAAAAAAAAGGAGATATAACTAGCTAAATGTACTTGTACACTCTTTTGTTTTGGAATTGGACTTGTAAGGCCGTTTCCATGTGGTAACAGTCTTTATATAAATGTATTTTCTGTGTGAATTTTATACTGTAGCTGATTTACCGCAAGTAAAACTGTCTTTATGACTGTCAGAGCAAACAAACAAATGGTGACTGGTGGAGTGTGGGTGGATTTCTTTTCAACTTTGCTTAAATTACTTCTGCAAATATCTGGTATTTTTCTCAGTATGGATCAGTCGGCTGTGACCAACTCTCACTGTCTTCATCGTGCCCTGAAAAATGAGCTACTTGTCTTTTGAGGCTGTTGGTCTTTCAACAGTCTTAGTTAGCCTCACCTGTCCTACTTTGAAACTACAGATTGTCTCACGATGTGCTGTTGAACCACACAAACCACTTGCTTACTCAGTTTGCATCCACCGGCCACGAGGTGGGCAGATATAACTACCTGCTATTGTGTGAACTGTTTCCTCTCTTTCTTTTGTTCTGTCACTCACACACGCACACAAGCAGCCTGTCCCTCATTTCTTCTGTTTAATGCAAAAATGAAAAACATTAAATATTCATTCAGAGCATTTTTGAACTGAATTGGTAAGAGCAGCTTTCATCCAAGCCATGTCTACAGTCGACACAGAGCTTATCTACAATCTACAGCTGTCTTTTACTTTTGTGTCTTTGGTGTCTTGATGATTATCTAAACTTTCCGACTCAAAAGGAAGACTGGTACCTCTGCTTCTGCAACATCTTCTTCTCAACAAGACACAAATGATCACCAGGACGATCAGGATGAAAGTAGACACCCCCAACAAGATCCACGGCCACAATTTGAAGTTGACTTCTGGAAATGCTGCAAGAGAAAAAACTTTGTCTTGAAATATGATCACAGTTTATTAGACTGAATATATGTGTTCACACAATATTCCATTTGTTAAACATATCATTATCACAATTTTACTTAATTCCAAGTACATCAAGCTTGACTTGTTGAGTAGTCCCTATACAAAACGTCCCCTCAGGTAACCTGAGTTTGATCTGTTCTGTGGACCTCTCACCCCTGTGGTTTCATCACCTCTATAAGTGGAAAAATTATGTCTGTCAACTCAACAACAATTTAATGCAACATTCAGTAGAAAGTCAGTGCTCATGACCACCAGAAATACATGCAGCACATCCTGTGTTTTTAAATTACCTTATTGTTCATGGGAGCTAGGTACTGGTATGTATAGAGACACACACGCACACACACACACACACACGCACACATACATGCACACACACCTTGTTTATCCGTAACTATGGGTATTGACTGGTACGTTGTAGGTTCCCCAATCTTCGCTGTCATGAAGGAAACAAAATTATACTTTAAGAGTCATTCCTTTAGTCAAGTACAAGTGTATATCAATCCCTTTATGATATATTGATTCATCGCAATAGGCTTTATGGCAACACTTTATTTTATGTACCACTTTTTCGCATCTATAAGCACCATACAAACATGTAATAAATGGTTTATAAGCCACTATAAAGTAGTTATAAGCTAATGTTTATTAATGTATTTGTCAACATATAACTCCTCCAATGGGCAGCCATGAGCGGAAGTATTAAAATACTAGATAAGATACTAGATAATTACAGTTGTAATAATATCACAAATGTCTCAATAAGAAGTTATAATTGTGGACAAATACGGTGCATTAATAAACACTTAAAACAACTACATTATCAATAGTGCGCTATAAAACAGGGGTTGCCAAACTTTTTCACGTCAAAGACCCTGACAAAAAATGCACATTCGACCCCGGACACCCAATTTAAAAGGGTTCTGTATTAAGAAATCCCCTCTGAGAATTGCTTGAAGTTTGAAGTCTTCATAATCAATCAGTGATCAACTGCAACCACTATACATTCTATGTAAGTTGTAATTTATTATATAAATAAAAACTGAGAGATATATATAATGAGATAAAACGTAAATTATTGTATTCCTCCTTTTGCTGGGGACCCNTTATAAACCATTTAGTAAATGTTTGTATGCTAGTTATCAATGTTAAGTAGGGCGACTTAAAGTGCAGTGTTACCGGCTTTATGAGTACAAGTAATACTTACATATAATGACTAATGTTTCTGTTCCATTATAATCAATATTGGAAGGAATCTCTTCTGTAACTTTGCAATAGTACCATCCACTGTTGTTCTCTGTAGCACTTGAAGTGTGATCCAACAACAGCTCTTTGCTGTCATTCTTGCTTTTAGGCACCATCTTGATAGAAATATTGTGGGTTTCATTGAACGAAGGCCCAATGGGGTTAAAATACCAGTATACCCGGAATCTCTCAGAGTCATTCAAATTCACACTGCAGTTCAAAGTCAGAGGGGAACCAAAAGGAACTTTTCTTTGTTTTCCATCCAGATTCACAGGAGCTTGACCTGATATCCCCATGGCTGCTACTGCTACTGTAGATAGATAGATAGATAGACTAGATGAGGATAGAGTAATTAAGATAAGATACAGATTAGGATAGGATAGATAGATAGATAGATAGATAGATATCGGTCAGCCAGTATCAAAAGTCTACAAACAGGCAAATGTGTTTCATTCTACAGGTGAAATTCACTATCTATCAAACAGCCTCATGTTATAACTCTATTGCATTGTTTTTTGTAGCATATTGTCTGTTTTGATCTTACCTGTGAGGAACACCAGAGTTGCCTGTTTCAGCCACATTTCCATTGTATCATGTGAGAGGTGGTCTTCTGCTCAGACTCATCCTGTCTCTGCTGCCTGCCTGTCTGCAAATATGTCAGCACTAAGCACAAAAACGTATGTGTGTGTGTGTGTGTCTGTGGGTGGGAGGAGGAGTTTTTTGTCTCACTGTACTGTGAGAATAAGTTGCTTTTACTGAGTTGTGGAGGTTGCATAAACAACAATTGAGGATGGAAATGGTGTAGGCTTTATAAAAGAGAGATTACTAATATTTACACTAATGCACAGTTGTTTCATTTGCTTTTAATCAAAAGACATCAAAGCAGCAGGCTGCTGCAAACTCACAGCTAAAAATGTATATCCTGCTGCTGTCACAGTTCTGAAGAATGGTGTCAGACAATTAACCCCTCAGGGAGATAAATATGCATGTGCTGACTTGCTGAATGCCATAAAATACAGAACAGGGCACACAACGATGATATGAGGGGTTTGTGAAACCCTTGTGGGTTTTGGTGGAAGGGTGCTAAAACGCAGTTCACCGTGTCCCGCAGTGTCTTACTAGAAAAGAAGCGCTTGGCTTCCTGTGAGAAGACACAACTTAAGTATGCTGAGGTAAATTAACTTTCTGCTTCAATCTCCAGCCACAACCTACAAAATAATTACAGGAGAGACTACAGAAATGAGGGCTGATAAAATAATATTTATCTCGAAGTAGAGTTTTATGCAGGAGATTTGAAATGTCTACAGAAATACAGTTCAGATCTGAAATCTATGTAGCACTGATTTACTGTGATATATGAACTGGTTTTTAATTCACTTTAAGTCAAATGATGAAGCATAAGTGTCTGTGTTATCTCCGTACGTGAGTGAAAAATTAAGAAAAAAAAGGCCACAAGAAGAAACGTCTGAAGTTTACAGTGGGCGTATAACTTCAACCCTAAGAACTCCATTTCACAGAGAGGCTGAAAGTAGGTCCTGCCTGTAATGTAGTGAAGAAAATTGATCTCAAATCATTTGTTTAGTAGACAGTTTGCATAGATGTGAGTGGGAGCTGTGGCTGAAATATAACCCATCTATATTTTCAGTTAAATGGAAAATAGGCTACTACAAATTTCCTCTATTATGTATAATAGGATGTATGGTATATACTATATTACATACTTTTGGGGAAAGTTAAAGTTCATTCAACATAACTGGCTGCATATTTTTATCAAGATTTTACTGTAAAATGTGCTAGTTATACATATACATGTACAGTTTACCAGTGTGGCTCTGATATTGGATCTCATCAATAAAAAAGGATTATACATTTTTGTTATACTGATTATACTTTACTTTTTATTCTTCCTTGCTATGCTAATAAAGACAAACACAATATTCTGTTTGTCTTAAAACATTTTGCTAACAGTGACGTGGATACAACACACTGTGCACTTTCAGAAACATGTAAGATCAGAAATGAGTCTGACAGGTCATGTTAAATGATAAAGGGATATTTGTGTCATGAGCTGGTAAAGGCGATGGCATTAAAGAGACAGCCAGGAACCTTAAATACTAGCCAAGGTGATGTATCAAGGACAAATGCTGAATTATTGCTACATAATGCTGTAAATCCTATTTATTTCTTTTTTTATTCAAACTCTACCTGGACAAACAAATAAATTAATTTTCTCAAGGGTTAAAGAAACAGAGGAATACATATGTTGACTGTGTGAGTTTCTTTTTTATAATTTTATTAGCTACTGTTATCGGAGATTTGCACCACTATAGTACAATAATTGGATTCTGTAATAATACATAATTATGCATTATATGAAGAGGCCTTGCTTTTTTATCCACAGGTCCACCAGTTTTACCCGCCATGTTTCTACAGTAGCCCGGGATTGGACAACCTAAGCACTGGCTCTAGTGTGTTTATCTAAGTCTGTTGTTTAGTATTAAGTTTTTAGGTGCACACTTATTTATTTATATTTACAATATCCATAACTATTGATGCTTAGCTTCTCGATCACATGCTTGTCTGTACTGTAACTGTAATATGATTGTATTGGTTTGGACAAGCTTTCTGTGCATATGTAACATAAAATTATGTTGAATGCCATTTAAATGCATTTGTTTTCCTACTTTAATATTTACTATATTATATTTATTTTATGTTCTTCACTTCAGATAGCAGCAGTACACATGAAGATATTGCCAGTGGTGATAAATATTCATACCCCTGTTTAGAAGCCTAGTGACTGAAAACTGTATATTCTCTGACTTTAGGTAGAGTGAATGGAAAGCAAGTGTCATTTTCAAGATAGAAAGTTCATTTTAGGCTTATGAAGTTTATGAATATGGAACGTTTTCTATGTATAAGTGAGGAAGTGATATTCAAGTGTCAGTAAACTTTCCCCTTTTGTTCCAGGATACTCCCTGACCATTGTTATACTTGTGTGACTATTTATGTAATTGTAGTGCCTTAATATTGACATTTAGATCATTTTGACAGAAACATTCTCCCCAAACCAAGGAAATAATAGTGGAAACATTATGAGTGCTGGACCTGGCTCCTGGTCTCTCTGCTTTTCTCCGGCAGTCCCTGAAGGCAGCCTTACTCAACCTTTACAACAGAAAACATCAGTACCCAGAATCCTCCTCTGCCGCATGCGCTGTACGCACTACGGCCCAAAGGCGTTGGTGGTTGGTGTCCGTACGAAGATGCGTTGCACTCCGGCAGCAGCATCAGTACCAGCTCCGCCGTGCTAATACACCAAAAACACCGGGGCACGGAGGAGAAATACCGGCGGGGTCTGCGGCTCGAGCGGCGCCGGAGCATCGGAGCGGCGAGATGGGAGACCAGAAGGTGAGCCGGAGCCCGAGGAACAGGTGTCTCTGATGGGGGGAAGCCGTTTCAGGGCGTAGTGTACAAAGGAAGGAGGGGGACGAGCTGCGGAATTGGGGGAGTTTGCAGTCCGGGCTCGTGTTTCCCAGAGAGGTTTTTCTAAGTGGATCGGTGTTCGTCCGGTTGAAGGTGAGCTCTGTCTGGTGCACGACATCGATGACTTTGATATCGATGTATCGGCCGTTACAGGCAGGGACAGCGGGGGCCTTGGCGCAGCTCCTCTCGCATCAACAAACATTACACAGTCCGTCAGTATGAATGGGCTTCACTGTGGGACGGCCAGTTGAGACACAACACAACGAGAGTGGCCACATATCAAAGCTGTGATCCGTGTAATAATCGACCCAGTGTGCGTCCAGGCCCTTTTTAAGTCGGCTGTTCAATGGTTGTGGAGCTGCATTATTAAATTATGAATGCGCATCCTTCCGCCCGTGAAGTGTCCTCCCTCCCTCCCTCTCTCTCTGTGCACTGGGGCTAGGTCCCTCTCTGATCCAATCTGGACAACACATGTTTATTCATGTTTAGAAAGGGAGCTCAAAGCCTACAGCTCCTTGTGTCCTTTCCAAACAAAACACCGGCGAGCACAACTGCAACCACAGACGATGTGGAGTGAGCAAGGTGCAGTGTTTGGTTAGAAACCTGCAGCCATTCAGCCCTCTGTGCTACAGGCTTTGATGGAGAATAATCAGCTGTATGGGCTTCATAAGGATCAGATTTAGTGTTGTTTTTAGTCAGATTGTGTCTTTCTCATCAGGAATCTCTGCGTAAGATCACCCACACGCTGGCCATGAAGAATGAGGAGATCTCAAACTTTGTCTGCACTCTCAAGCAGAGCCTTGACAACCTAGAGGTACAGAAAACCTACACGGATCAATCCAAATTTAATCCCCCGGCTGCACACAGTTTGGTTTCCTCTGTCAGGGTGTTCAGGTTACTTCATGCGTTCACTCACTTTTTTGCTGTGACACCAGGCGAACTCCGGTCGAGTGCAGGAGGACCTGGAGTCTGAGTTCACCTCCCTCCACTCTGTTCTGGATGAGATGAAGGAAAACATGATGACGCGCATCAAACAGGAGAGAGCCAGCCGCACATATGAGCTACAGGTACCTGCTGCTGTCTTTACACATCTTTCTTTTTTTGTTTTTAGTAAGAATATTTGAGCTCATCAGAGAAACTTTTTATGTGTGGAAAAGAACGTTTTCTCTTTCTTACAATTTCTCGATCACCAGATGAATGATGCATTTTTTTGCTTTGAAGTCAGAACATTTCCAGAAAAAACTGCCACCTGACCTTTTCAGTGTATGACTAAAAACTAAAACGGTGTTCTCAAAGCTCGAACCGAGAACCTGACTTTGTGGAGGAAACTTTAAATGTCAGGAACTTTGCTCTGAGCTTGAGCAATACGATGCATGATGAGTGTGGGAATTATGTTTTTTTCAGTTCAATTTTCACTGGAAAAACTGTCTAGGGGAGCTGTACCAAATAAACATGATTCATTTGTGGGCCAGAGCCTCTCTGCAGAGCTACAGTACTTCATTATAATGCTGTTTGGTCTCACATTTTGCCTTCATCCAAACATTGCAGCTTCTGTGATTTGTATATGGCACGTGGACATATTTTAAACAAATAATATTACATTTAAAAGGATGAAATACTCCACTACAAAATGAGTGCTTGGATGCATCTAGAGAGATATTATTATATTTTTCTTTGCTTTTAAAGTTCTGTCACCAAACAGCTGATTTTGAGTTGATTTTGAATGTTTCTTTAAAGCAATCATTCCAGTTCACATGTACACTATTAAACGGTTGTATATAATTATACCCAGGTCAAAATACCACAGATTGTGTACTTCTCAAAGTCCTCTGTTTATGTCTTTGCTGCATGCATCAAAAGCTCTGCAGCCTCAGGACCAAGCCATGACTCTCAAATGATGCAGCAAAACTCCATAGCCTCCGCAGGGAACACAGTAGTCCCATTGTTCCTAAAGAAAAACGTGTAAAAGTCTGCAGATGTGACTCTATTTGACTGTGGTTCTGTATTTTTCTCAGAGTCAGCTGAGCGCCTGTTCCAAAGCCCTGGAGAGTTCGGAGGAGCTGCTGGAGCTGGCCAACCAGACGCTGTGCTCCTCCGAGACGGACGGTTTCACTCAGGTAACAGGCCCACTGCACTGCTGATGTCATGCTGCTGCACTGTTCCCTCCGCTCGCTGTTTGTAACTTCATTTTTTTAATGACTGATGGTGAATTCCCATATGTATACGAGTTAATCTGTCCCTCTTGTGGTGTCATACTACCAGTTATTTTAACACAGCCACCAGCGACTTTTTGTGTTAAATGACAACATGATGGGCTACAACTCAGTTTTCTCTTCGCTCCGTATCTCTCCTTTTCCTTTCCCTCTCTGCTTCTCCTCCAGGCGGCCAAAGACATTAAGGATAGGTATAGTACTCAGCCATCCATTGCTTCCCTTTTGTCATAGCCTCTTGTAACCATTGAGCCATCTCATAATGTAGCATGCATGCATTCAAACTACCACACCCATTTCGTAGACAATAAGCACTATGGAAAACCTTCCACTCGAGAGCCTTTTGTCTTTGTGTTTGCCACTGTCTTCTCAAGTCTGTACCATCCTGTGTCAGCCCCTCCCTCAGTGACTGCTGCTCCCTCTCTAGCTCCGCTTTCTAAATGTCAATCAGGGTGATGAGTTCAGTGGTAGTAACAGAAATCTAGTTAGCAGCCTTTTTTCTTAGCGAGCAGTATTAGAATTAGTTTTTTTTTTTTTTACGCCTCTGATCCTGTCGAATAATGGACCACGCTTGTTTTCCACTCCGTGTGTTTGTGTGTGTTTTTGTGTGTTTCTCTCTTTGTCCGCAGCGTGACAATGGCTCCAGCCTTTCGCCTCTCCCTGAAGGCTAAAGCCAGTGACAACATGAGTCACTTGATGGTGGATTTCAGCCAGGAGAGAGGGATGTTGCAGGGACTCAGATTTCTCCCAGGTCTGCTCCACTTTTAATGCAAAGAAATAGACAGAAGCTGCAGACGGTGATTATATAAAGTACATTTATTACGCCAGCACTGTACAGTACTTGTACTTTACTGGAGTTTCCCCATCTCATGCTATTTTATACTTCCACTCCACTACATTTCAGAGGGAATTAGCATACTTTTTGCTTCATTATATTTATTTAACAGCTGTAGTTACTGTTATTCATTAAATATATTTATATTTGAGTCCTTTATCTTCCCAAAATATGTAAAGATATGTTTTCAATAAAAATCATTTGAATTATTTTCTAAAATCAGGTCCCATTTTTCTTAATTCTATTGCAGCGACATGCCTGATTCTTTCTTATTTTCTTTCTTATTAGAATAAGATCAATTCAATCAGTTCTTTTGACAGATTCATTCATTTGTTCACTTGTTTTACGTAAATATGTATTTTTGAGGAGCCAGTTATAGCCAGAATAGATATTTTGTGAGATTGGGGCTTTCACAGACTGAACTGCCCAATATATAACGTTCGATCTGTATACTTTGTTGTCTTATAAAGACAAATCCATGGTAACCACACACAGACATACACTCTGTCTGAGAGTCTAATCACAGCAAAACAGACACAAGTCGAACCAGCCACTGTTGCATTTAGTTCCAGATGACAACGTGTATGTGAAAGGGGTCGTTCACGTCGCTGAAACCACAGAGATTTATCAGCTGCCTCTGCAGCTGTGTGAGCTTCTTAACCTCTTTAGTTCACTGGTGTGGTTTTACACAAGGCTACGTGTTTACTGAGTATCTTCACTAACAGCAAAACTCCGATAAAACCACTGTACGCCACCTGTTAAGCAACATATGGACAGATGTTAGTGGTTAGCTGCTGATAAAAGTTGAACATTTAGCAGCTAAAGAGCCGGATATTTCCCTCCAGAGACCAAAACGGAGCTAAATATGGAGTGAATATTGGTCAGATGGACACAAACAAAAATCCAAATGAATGATAATGTTGCTCTGTATCTGATCTTTAGCCACAAAGTTTAGCCACAAGTTTAAGCTGTGTAGCTCGTTTTAGCTTGTTTTGGGATAATTCTGCCCCCAAGTGGCCAAAATCAATTGATGCAGCTGTAACATTACTCCAACGTGACATCTCACGTCATCATGAACTATTTGATCCACTAAATGTCTTGTTACTGAATATTTCACACGATACTAAAAGTGTTGAACAAGAGTAGAGGAAGTAGATTTTTGATATTTAACCGTATCTTCTCTTCAGTTCCTGCCACTCCAGAGATCCAGGTCTCAGAATGCCAAGTGTGCGACAACACCGTGACTGTAGTGTGGAGCCTACCAGAACCTGACAGCAAGATAGACCATTACATCCTGGAGCACCGACGCACGAACCACGAGGGCCCGCCGCGCATCAGAGAGGACTACCCCTGGATGGTGGTGGAGGGGATTAAAGAGCTGGAGCACACACTCACGGGTAGGAGGAGGACTGTGAGGAGATATTTGTTGTCTTAACTTGAAGAAGAAGCTGACTCATAAAGGGATCCTTTCTGTGTTTTTTATTTTTATTTTTAGGTCTGCGCTTTGACACCCGGTACTTGACATTCAGAGTGAGAGCGTGTAACAAGGCCGTGGCAGGAGAGTTCTCTGAGCCCGTCACACTAGAAACCCACGGTGAGAACACTGGACGCAAACTCAGGAGGCTGGATTGTTGCATGAGAAGTCTGTGGGTTCTGGGAATGTGAATTTTGGATTGTTTTTCAGTGTGTTAAAGGTCCAGTGTGACACATTTAGCATGATCTATTGACAGAAATGGGATATAATATTCATTTAGAAGTTTTTGTTAACTTAGAATGAGCCGTTTTATCTACAGAGAAACAGGTCCTCTTCTACGGAGTCCGCCATGTTTATACAGTAGCCCAGAACAGACAAACCAACCACCATAGTTTCTCCTTCACATTTTGAAAGGGAGAGTGAAGCGAGGGAGTTGTACTTCGCAACCACTCAGCAAGATGCAACTAAATCCTGCACACTGGTCCTTTAATAAAAAGCATTTCTCGTTTTCCTTTCGCAGCCTTCAACTTCAAACTGGACGCTGCTTCGTCCCACCAGAACTTGAAGGTGGAGGACTTGAGTGTGGAGTGGGACAGCAGTGGAGGGAAGATACAAGACATCCGCAAGGAAAAGAACCGAACCAACTCCCCGATGCACTCTCCAGCCAGGTTTGTATGAATGTAAACTTACAGTCTGGGCTTTGACCTCATAAGGTCTGTGGTCACTGTCATTAAGAATAAATCTCATAAATATGGATCTTTGTCCGCTGTCTGTGATCAGGTCAGCCCTGATGTCACCTAAGAGAGCGCCAACAGCTCGGCCCGGCAGAGACAGATTTACAGCAGAGTCCTACACAGTTCTGGGTAAGAATACACACAAAAAACCAACATAACAAACATATTTCTACATCTCTAGCAGTAAAACACACCTGAAGTTACGACTGTACAGTTATTTAAAATCCAGCTGCTCTGGAAAAAGTTAAGAGATACCTTTTTTTAACTGAAACTGACAAAAAAACATCTAACACCTTACTGAGGTTTGTAGGGTAACTTATAAGCCCAGCTGGCCTTGCTGGTAAACAAGAGAAAAAAAAAATGATGCAAAGATATAGTAGACTACGACTGACTGACTTACTTACTTACTTACTTACTTACTTTATTGATCCCAAGCTGGGAAATTGCAGTTTGTAGCTACCCAGGTAAGCTAGTTAGCTAACTCTTCCAACATTAATTTCACACTCATGAATAAAGAGAGTTGGTGTGCTCCGAACATTGCAGTTCTTTGCATTAAAGCTGGTTTTACAGTTAAGTTTTGTGGCATTATTTGTACGCTCCATTTCCTTTTTAGTTGTTGCTATTTTCTCATGTTGCTCATTTCAAAACCAATTTTCATTGGAAGGCTCTCCTGCGAAACTGTTTCCAGTTGTATCATATGAGGTCATATCAAATGTTACGTAACCGTAACGCTCAACTACCCTAATACTGACACGCTTCTCGAAACGATGCACTCCAGCTCGTGTTGACACTGTAACTCTAGACATTTATCATGTGGGGTCATGTCTCATGACAGCTGACACCATGATCGACGCTGGCCATCAGTACTGGGAGGTGCGGTTTGACAAGGAGAGCAAAGCCTTCGCTGTGGGTGTCGCCCTGCGGAGCCTCGGACGATTCGACCAGTTGGGGAAAAGTAGCGCTTCCTGGTGCATCCACCTGAACAACTGGCTGCAGCAGAGCCTCACAGCCAAGCACAACAACAAGGCTCGGACACTGGACTGTCCCATCCCAAACAGTATAGGAGTCTACGTAAACTATGACGAAGGTGCGATAAATACTCCACAAAATAAACACTGATGTGAAAAATATGTTGCAAATGATCAGGTTACATTTAGAAACGAGAGTTTTTTTTATTGTCTATATTCAGTGGCAATTATCTGTTTAGTGATTCTGTATAAAATAGTACTTTTTAATATTTTTATAGAATTAATCAATAGACAGAAATTAAACAATTTAAAAACTAATTTATTCTAAACAATGTGTTTCTTTGAGGTTAGAAACCTCTTTTGAATGGAAAACCCTGCCAAGAAGGCAGCATAAAATGTTGAAGACAAAACAATACAAAACTAGACCACAGATTAAACATGACTAAAATCAGATAACTGCTACTTTTCTATGATTATACTACTGTAAATTGAATATCTTTGCATTTTGGGCTGTTTGGACAAAACAAGCAATTTGATGACATTCCTTTTTTCTTTTTTTTTTCTTTTTTACAATTTATAAAGTAAACAAAAAATAATCAAATCAACAATAAAAATGTCAGTTGTTTTTAATATAGTACATATTTGCCATCTTTATTCTCTGCAGGTGTACTGTCTTTCTACAACGCCAAAACTAAGCAGCTGATGCACACTTTCAAAACCAAGTTCCAGCAGCCAGTTATACCAGCTTTCATGGTGAGAAAAGCTTTTTTAAATACATCCCTTATCTAGAACAATCCTCCATTGTTGTTTTTGAGTTTTAAAACTTTCTGTTGTTGTGTCACCACCTGCAGGTGTGGAATGGCAGTTTTTCGGTAGTGACGGGCCTGCAGGTTCCCAGCGTGGTGCAGAGCGGCCAGAGGAAGAACAGCGGCACCAGCAGCTCCAACGCCAGCCTCACCTAGACCCATCCACTCAGCCAGCCGGACGCCTCACAGCTCCGCTCGACCACAGTCACCGCCGGAGAACCTGGCTGCGGTCAAAGCCATATCATGGAAGAGTTACATCACTGGAAGATGATGGTTTAGCCTGTTCCACATGCAGTGTTTGTGTTGCATGACAACAAAGATGGTTCTGGGAACAAGTGAGACATCTGCACCGTCAGTGACAGAATTCTTCAGATGTATGACTCTGGCTGTTGTGATTGCTTGGGACACGTTAGCTGTAGTCTTACTAGTTTTCCTCTACACATTCATTTAGCACTGTCCCACTGCTGCTAGAGCAATGATTTAGCGCTGGCCGCTGCCCTTCCTTTCCTTTCCATCACCAAAACTGTCAGTCGTACTGTCAATGCAGCCAGCTGCAGGTGCAGGGTCAAGGCCTGTCCTGTCTGCTCTCTCCCTGTGCCTTCCTCCTCATTTCCAAACTGATAGGCCAAATCGGGTGATCTGTACCAACATGCTAATATTTCACTGCAAGAAATGGTCTCCCTATTTCAAGTTAATACCAACACATTGTGTCAGTGTCAATATAACCTGGTTGTAACATAGCTTAGTGGTAATTATCAGCCTCTTTCCATCAACCAACCCAAATAACAACTTGCTCCTAGAAAACGCTACTGAATAGAATACAATTCATTACTCAATCAGGATTTATTCAACTCTGCTTTGACTGAGCAACTTATAGATCATAAGGAATTACCAACTCGTATTAGGGATGTTGTATTTATTTCTTGCCAAGGCATGCAGACTTAACAGTGTTTACTGCATTTCACTCTTTGTGATCAGGTCTCACACTTTGCGTGCAAGAAACTGGGTCCTTTAGCCTCCTGCTGAAGTCCTGTTTTGGTTTTAATTAGTTAGTGTTGGCTGTGGCGTTTGATCATAATGACAGCCAGACTGCACAGAAAGTTAGCAGGGAGTTTTATCAGTGTAACTCCATGTAGTAATCAGATATGGCTTCAGGTTTTTGGAAATGATTGTACTGTTTACGTTCTGTTCACCTGATTGCACCCTAATGCTTGTATGTACAGTATGTATGTGTCTATACCTAATAACACCGCTTTATTTGCTGAAGAGGAGTCCCATTTATGAGTAGTGGGCTGTCTGTGGTCCAGATATAACAAATAGCTAGCAAGTAGCCTCAGCTAACAAATTGTATTATGAGAGTTAGCCGGGTTTGAGGTACATGTGGGCGAGAAACAAAAGTGATAAACTCTGGAAAACTGATGTTATAAAATCCTTATTTGTGCACCGCCTGACCTCTGAGTAGTGTCCATGTCACACGTTCCACATGGTAACAGTCGCTTTGCCGTGTTGCTCCTTCTGTATGCATCTCCTGAATAACTGTAGCCTGCAATGCTTTAAAGAAGCGTACAGCTGAGAATTATGTTAACTTTTATTTCACAGGCTGACATAATGTCACAATTTATTGTAAATAGTTTTAATTTTTCCACTATACTGTATCAGTCATTGAGGTAATAAAGGAGTGAGAGCACTTTGGTCTTGGATTTCTGCTTCAACGAAGAATGAAACGGCAAGAAAAAAAACAGTCGGTTGTACAAAAAGAGGTTTAACACAGGAATGCGGACCAGGTACAGAACATCATAAAACTGATTGATTTCTAACTGCTGCATGGCACATACTGGTTGCTTGTGCATATGTATCTGATTGGATGTGACGGTAGCAAATGTTTCCTTCACTACAGTATATACAATACATTCACATACAGTAGGTACAGTAACCACAAGCCAATTCAATGGTGTACAATATGTATAAACATCACATGCCTGTAAGGCAGAATAAATATAGCTGTCTAGGCTAAGTAAAAAAATTTTACAAAAATACAACTCAACAGCTGATAACAGTAAAAGTAGTCACAAACACTGATACAGAAGATCTGATACAATCTAAGTAGGAAAATGTACACCAGTGTCAATGGCAAATGTGCAAAATGTACAAGAGAAACACGGTGAGGATAATGTGACATGTACACCCCTCGTTACAGTCGATTCATTTGCTAATGAGTGTCTGAGAGGGGTGAATCAATAGAGTGTTAATCTTCGGAGAGGCTTTGCTGCTGACAGCCAGCTGACGAGGAGGAGCAGAGCCACGACGCAGACGGGGAAGATGCCGTCTGTGTGGAAACCGCTGCTCTCTTCCCGCTCCTATGTGTTGGTTCATGTTGCAGGGACAGACTGAGTAGCTCTGCACTGCTGTTGAGTCACAGACGCTTTAATGGGAATTCAACCAGGAGAGGTCACTCTTGACTCCTTGCCTTTTGTTCCAACTTGAGTTTCAGCTCAGACAGCGTTGCGATAGGAACTGGAACATACCAGACAATAAGTTTGGATATTATGATAAGAAGGTAACACAAAACTGAAAATATATCTATAAATAAATTATTATCTAAAGCAGGTAAAGGCCTCCAGATCAGGGTGGACTTACTCTGTCCCCGACAGTCGGATAAGGCTCTCAACTTCGGGTCGCTGTTCATGGAGCAGGTAGAAGAGGGGGGTGATACAAAGGAGGCCCCTTTGCGAGGAGCAGGAATTGGAGGCATAATTGCTTTCTTTGGAGCATTTTTCTCAGGTTCTATGGAAGACCAAAAACACACAATGATTCACGGTCATAAAAAGATAAGTAATGATTGCAGTCATGACGCAGGTAAATGAAAGACTCCTGAGATTGAAGGATAAGAGGAGGGACTTACCTGGCAGTGGAGCGGCTGGGGAATTCTTTGTCTTTTTGTCTTTCCCGTCCACTGTTTGAACACAGACTTAAGTTAGAAATAGCAATGGAAAAAATGAAGTCACACCTGTTTAGAGAAAGAACAAATGGCAGGAATGGGTTGATTGGGGTTTGGTGGGAGTTATACTCACACTTGTCATTCATATACTCAGACTCTTCTATAAATGGTTCTGCCTCTGGTTCAGGAGTCGGTATTCTTAGAGCTACTGCAAAACAAAAGATGTAATTATAATTATTACAGGGTTGATATATTGTAAGATTATTGACCAAGGTGAGCAAGAACTCCTGTCACAGTACCCTTGAGAAAATCACCTGAACACCAACTGACAGCGGGCAGCTCAGAAGTGAACAGAAATAGACGCTGGTTGAATGCAGGTTTTGAAAACAAACATACGCGTTCGGTCAAATAAAGGTTAACATGAAGTCTGGTCACTGCTTTCTTTCAGACAAAAAGTTCTCAACAATTATTTGATGGATTTCCACATTCTGTACAGACTTTAATGGTCCTCAGAGGACAAACTGACTTTTGGTGATCCTTTTCCTCTAGTGCCACCATGAGATGCATGTCAGAGTTGTTATAGTTAAAGGCAAAAAGCCCCAAAAATATATATGTGTAAAAATAGACACACATAGACAGACATTCACGTCTCCCGCAGGATGATTTGAAAAACAGGTCAAAACTTTCATCATTTGACCAATACTTTGGTTTGTGACCAAACACCTGCAAGACATTCCCACCAGTCTCAGCTGTTCAGTGCTAATTAGCAAATATTAGCATTCTAAGAGGCTAAACTAAGATGGTGAACATGGTAACATTATACTTGCTACACATCAGCATGGAAGCACCATCATTATGAGCATGTTAGCACGAGTGGTTTTCAACCTGGGGGTCAAGACCACGACATAGGGGCGCCCCACAAATCTGAGGGGTCACTAGATGATTAAGAAGATGGGGAAGAAGAAAAACATAAATCTGCTACACCAAGTTTAATTTTTCAGACTTAGCTGTAATATTTGCTGTTTACTTTTGAATTACTAGATAATTTAACTTTTAATAATTACTCAGTAAAACAAGGAAACAAGTCACTCTTTGGTTCAACTAGCCACAACCAGTACACAGTGCAACCGGTGAAGGAGGGTCTGAAGCAGACATTGTTTTAAGGGGTCATAAGCTAAAAAGCTTGAAAACCACTGCTGTAGAAGTTAACATTTGCCTGAGTTACAAAGTCCACAGTAAAACTCTGCAGAGGAATTTCTACCTGCTGCACAAAGGTTCTAAAACAAGCAAACCTTAAGTGATTGGGTGGGTGGAGGTAAGTGGACTCACAATGCAATCATACCTCGACAGAACGACTTCAGTGTTACCACCTTCTTAAAAAACCTTTTATCATGCTAATGTTTTTAAGTTTGAATTCTTATGCACACCCATTGGTAACAAGTGAATTAGCCAACCATAAAAAGAAGATTATACAACATTTTATTTATTTGTTTCGATAATTGGGGTTCAAGTGGTTTTCATTTTGATATAAACAATGAACTAAAAGTACTCTCTTGTGTCATGGGATTTGGAAAAAGTACAAGTACAAACCATGCTGTCAGAGAAGAGGAATTTCCAAATACCTGTGTGAGTCACAGTGCCCGAGCAAACAGGTCTGGCGAACAGTGTAAATAGTTGTTGACGTGTGTGTGTGTTTTTGTATTAATAGACACAGTACCTGGTTTGGGGGGTGGAGTTGGTGGGACAAGGTTTGATGAGGCCTGCTGAACGCTCTTCTCTCCATTTTCATTGTCCGACCGAATATAAGCTGTAAAAAAAAAAATAAAAATAAAAATCCAGAATACCTTTTGCTAAAATGTTTGGTGGATGGAAAAATGTGAGCTTACTTAAATAAGAACTGAGTGAGCAAATGAAAGGCTAAAAGAGAGAAGGAAAAAGAGTGAAAGAGAGAGTGAGAAAAAAAATGGTTTTGTACGTACAGATGTTTTTTTCATATGCCTCTTCAATTATGAAAGGAATCAAAACTCTGTCAGTATTTTCAACTAAATAGTTGATCACATCATGTAGAGTGGGACAGGGAACCTGCACAGAGAAGAGCTTCCTTTTAAAATTTAAGAACAATAAAACGCATACAGGAAATAAAACGGCTCGTGGTTTGACATAAGACTTGACTCCACCACAATAACCACAATAACCACAATTAAGTTTAATTCCTGTAATTACATCTCATTACTGCTGAGAAGGAAACCATGTTGAACTTTGTCAATGACTTGCATGCATCACTTTATCGCAACATGCAACTAACAGCTGAATTAAAGTCTTATGGAACATTATAATTATATTTATTGCCACCTCTGTTTTTACCAGTAACCCTGTGCTACAGTTAATCAGTTCATCTCTCTCACCTTAGCAATAAAATACTCCAGCTATTAAGTACAACTAGTTCTTTCTTACTTAAAGATATAACATGAAACATTTCTGCATTCAAATGTCTATAAACATTACACCTATATTATATATTTTGTTGAGTTGTGTACTTTAACTATTCCAAATGTTTCCAACAATGTTCAAAGTCAGGGAAACATGTAATTTAATTTAGGTAACGCTGCGTATTACTGGTTGCCTGTCAGGGGCGTCATATCCTTTGCACATGTGTCAGTGTTGTGGTTATCTGCCAGAAGCTGTCATAAATTGACTTTTTATCCACATTGTCACAATACACTTTTTAGATCTTGGTCATTTTTAACTATATATTTTAAACGGATGAAGGATTTTAGTCATCAGGTGTCTGGAAATTAAGTTATCAGAGAAACAAGCTGATGAGCAGCAGAAGCTGACTGCAATGACGGCAACAACTCCCAT